CCTACCATCCTTTCCCAACCAATGGGAACTCTCCCATTACAAGAGTGACATGAGTAACCTGAGTCCTGAAAATGGGCCCAGCTAGACAGCATGAGTCCAATTACCATATGAATGTGAATTGCTGGCTGGCAGTCATAAAATCCAAAGGTGCCTGTATCAATATTTTTGCTGTGGCTCCTAACACAGGGGCTGTGCTAATCTCTGTTTTATTCCAATTTTAGTATATGTGCTGCCAAAGCAAGCACAATTCTGTCTCCTCCTCCTTCTCCTCTTATTTTTGTGGTATGGGAGATGGAAACCAGGGGTGCTCTACAATTGGGCCATATCCCTAGCCATTCTTATTCTTTAAGACAGGATTTTTGTGTGTATGTGTGATATTCCTCTTTTTATTATTCTTTTTTATATACAAAATATACAGTAGAGTATATTTTGAAATATTATACAAACATAGAATAAGTATAACTTGTTCCAATTAGGATCCCATTATTGTGGTTGTATATGATGTGGAGTTAACATTGGTTCTTTATTTATATGAGGATAGGAAAGATAAGTCTGACTCATCCTACTGTCTTTCCTATTACCATTCCCCCTCCCTTCCCTTCATTCCCCTTTGTCTAGTCCAATGAACTTCTAATCTTCCCTTCCCTTGTTGTGGGTTAGCATCCAAGACAGGATCTTTCTAAGTTTCTAAGGCTGGCTTTGAACTTTTTATCATTGTAACTAATATAGCTCAGATGTGTGACCTCCAAAATTAGTGATTTTTATAAAACTAAAAGCAAGTAACTAAGGGGGAAGATTGGAGCTCAGAATCAGAGAAGTAGAAAGTACAAAGCATTGTTTAGTATAAGTGAGATTAGGCCAGCTGTGTTTGTTGGCAGGTAATTATCAAAGTTAGAATACTGTCTTCTCATGGAGTCTTGGAGACTGAAGTCTTATTCTTTTGATGGTTACATTCCTGAGAAATGACTCTCAAGTCCTTGAGAGATGCTTCTGTGCCATGAAGGATACATATTTACAATTGTAAGCCCTTTTTTCGGGTAAATGCCCAGCAAATGATTGTGGTCCATGGTTTTAGACTTGAAGGAGCATGGCTCTTACAATGAGACTCCACTATTGATTGCTAAGTAGCATTTCCTCTCCTGGTAGTAACCTCAAATATTATTAGAGAAACCATTTCTCCACTCTTGGCCATATGATTTAATTCTGAATATAGACCTCGGTGTTGTCCTGCCCTGCCCCCCAAATTTGGCAACATACCAATGGACTACTCATGACTCATTCTATCTTAAATTTTTATCTCATTGTCCTATATGTGAAGTCCCTCATCTTGGTAACCTATATTTGATTGCTTGAAACCCTCTGGGAGTTCTTTTTCAAAGTTAAGTGCAGGCAGGACAGTGACTTGAATCCCTTTTTCCTCATAGTTTCTCCTGATCTTGGTCCTTGGTGTCTTATCATTTCCAATATGCAAAAGAAATTTCAGAAGATCAGTTCATGGTCAGTCAATTCCATTGCTCTGGGCCTGAGATAAGGCAGAATATCATGGAGGAAGAGCATGGCAGAGGAAAGTTATTCAGTTCATGGTAGCCAGGAAGCAGAAACAAAGATAGGAACCATTTTTGCAACCTTGAGGAGAGAATCTAGAGTTCCCTGGGTGTAGGTAGGGTGAGATAACAAAGATTAAGGCAGTAGTTGTAGCTCAGTGGTATGGCACTTGCCTCATATGTGTGAGGTATTGGGTTCGATTCTCAGGACCATAAATAAATAAATAAATAAATGTCCATCAACAACATAAAAAATTGTTTAATAAAGAGTAAGGCAGGGCTGGGGATATAGCTCAGTTGGTAGAGTGCTTGCCTCACATGCCCAAGGCCCTGGGTTCAATCTCCAGCACCACAAAAAAAAAAAAAAAAAAGATAAGGCAGAGCCAAAAACAGAAAGAAGCCAGTCTCCTCCTGACAGTGTTTGAGCCTAAGGCCCGACCTACTTCTGGGCTTTTTAGTCACATGAACCAATAGATTTGTGTGTGTATACATGTGGTCCAAGACTGAACATAGGGCCTCATGTAGGGGATATACCCCAACCCCGTCAATACGTTATTTTGTTTAAGCCAGAAATATTCTGTTTTTTATTAATATCAGCCAAAACATCCTAACTGGTAAAGTTGTGAAGAAAGAAAATGGAGGGCTGAGGATGTGGCTCAAGCGGTAGCTCGCTCGCCTGGCATGCGTGCTGCCTGGGTTCGATCCTCAGCACCACATACAAACAAAGATGTTGTGTCCGCCAAAAACTAAAAAATAAATATTAAAGGCCAAATGTCACCTTCTCAGAGAGGCATTTAAAAAAATGGAACATTATTAAGCAAAAAAAAAAGAGACAAATGCCTGCTGGCTCAGCGGTAGAGTGCTCACCTAGCTTGTGCAAGGTCCTGGGTTCGATCATCATCACTACCTAAAAATAAATAAATAAAATAAAAATATTGTGTCAACTTACAACTAAAAAAATACACACACACACGCTTAGAACACTGTGTCAGTCCCAGCACATCAAGGTCCTGGCTCCAGGTAGAGAAGGGTCTGAATATCTCCTTCCCAGCCACTGGCTGTCAGAAACTCATTGAAGTGGACGACGAACGCAAACTTCGTACTTTTTATGAGAAGCATATGGCCACAGAAGTTGCTGCGGATGCTCTGGGTGAAGAATGGAAGGGTTATGTGGTCCGAATCAGTGTGGGAACGACAAACAAAGTTTTTCCATGAAGCAGGGTGTCTTGACCCATGGCCGTGTTCGCCTACTACTGAGTAAGGGGCACTCATGTTATAGACCCAGGCGAACTGGAGAGAGAAAGCACAAATCTGTTCGAGATTGCATTGTGGATGCCAATCTGAGCGTTCTCAACTTGGTTATTGTAAAAAAAGGAGAGAAGGATATTCCTGGACTTACTGATACTACTGTACCTTGAAGACTGGGACCCAAAAGAGCTAGTAGAATCCGCAAACTTTTCAATCTCTCTAAGGAAGATGATGTCCACCAATATGTTGTCAGAAAACCCTTAAACAAGGAAGGTAAAAAACCCAGGACCAAAGCACCAAAGATTCAGCGTCTTGTTACTCCATGTGTCCTGCAACACAAGCGCCTGCATATTGCTCAGAAGAAACAGCATTCTAAGAAAAAGAGGCTGCAGAATATGCCAAACTTTTGGCCAAGAGAATGAAAGAAGCCAAAGAAAAATGCCAGGAACAGATTGCCAAGAGACGTAGGCTGTCTTCTCTGAGAGCTTCTACTTCTGAGTCCAGTCAAAAATAAGAATTTTTATCAGTAACAAATAAATAAGATCAGACCTTCAAAAAAAATACACACACACACACACACACACACACACACACACACATATATATAAAAGAGACAAATGCCAAAGAAATTTTCACTTTTCAGACAAAGGAAATATGCTATAAGGAGCCAGCAGTGAGACTAAAGACACATAAAATAAAAGCAATAATCAATAGAAGTACCTAATGCTTTTGAGTCATAGAAGCATCTGAATGTAGAATATAGGAAGAAATTTAGAAAAAAGGGATGCCCACCAGTACCTGGGAAAAAGTAATCAGTCATCAAATATTTGTCCAATGAGCAGATTAATTATTTGGTATCTTCTGAAAACTCCTATATAATGGCAGATAACAGGTTTTTCAAGGCTACATTTTTTTTTCATCTTTAAACTTTTCATGTCATTCTCAGAGGTTATCTTGGGCTCATCTTTTGGAATAGTTTTTTTGGTGGTACTGGGGATTGAACCAAGTGCAATGCCCATGTTAGACAAATGCTCTACCACTGAGAATGAGCTACATCACCAGTTCAGACTTGAATTTTAACAAGTTTGTAGATGATTTTCACTTGCATTCAAGAATCACTAAATTTGGTTGTAAGAATGGTATCTTGTTCACCTTTGTTTCTGCAGAAATTAATTCAGTGCCTGGCACAGAAAGCTGTTTTCTCATCTATTTGACATGTGAAATATGTAAGATAGGGAATCCTGTATTATTAAACAAGCCTACAAGTTTGGCCTTTGATAAAGCAAAAATTTATATTGTAGGATTTCTAAGGTAACTGTTGAATACTTGTCATTTCATTATACATTTCTATTTTCTGTTAATGTTTGAAAATTTCCACAATAAAATTTTTCTAAAGAAATTAAAATTTTGTGATTCCCTGGTATTAGTGGTTTCAAACATCCGTTACAATCAGCTGTGACAAATGTCTCAAGTAATGAGTAAATAATTACACTCAAGAATTAAAGTTAGCTGAGCACAGTGGTGCATGCCTGTAATCCTAGCAGTCATTTTCCTTTCCATAAATTGAGATCAATCTTGTTCCATTCTCCTTACTTTCCAGTCACTTTAGTTTCATGTTAGTAAATAGATCTCAAAGCCAGGTATGATGTTGTACACCTGTAATCTCAGAAATTCAGGAGGCTGAGGCAGGAGGATCACAAGTTCAAAGCCAACTTCAGCAACTTACTGAGGCCCTAAGCAATTTGACACTATTTCAAAATAAAAAGGGCTGGGATGTGGCTCAATGGTTAATCGCCCTGGATTAAATCCCTGGTACCCTACCCTACCCCAACAAAATTAAAGTTTAAGACCATGATTCATGACTTTGAAGTGAGATGGGTTCTATCACTTAACAACTAGATGACTTTAGGACCTCTATGTGTCTCAATTTCTGGATTGATAGAGATGTGTTGTCCAGGAAGGAAGGACTTGCTTCCCCAGCTGACAACATTTAGCTCTTAGATACTTCAGAGTCAAGTTGCAGAGTCCTCATGTATAAATTCACACCCTTCCCATGTGGACTACATCTAATGACTAAGGCAGGGCTAAAAAGGTCTGGCCAAGCCAGTATGGTGGGGCATGCTTATAATCTCAGCAATTTGGGAGACTAAAACAGGAGGATTCCAAATTCGGGATCATCCTGAGCAGCTAGCAAGACTCTGTCACGAAAGAAAAGTACTGGGGATGTAGCTCAGTGGTAGAGCATCCCTGAGTTTAATCCCCAGCACCACACACACAAAATAAGTCTGGTTATTTCAACTTAATATGGGTCAACTCTGATTTTAGCTTCAGAGTGTCCATGTCACAGATTGACATGATAATCAGGCCCACACTTCAGCTCATCTTCTCTTTCTCTCTCTTCCAAAATTGTTAATCCCAGGGATACTGATAAATATCCTGCATGCTAATCTCCA